TTTTCCAAGACTTTTCGAGGTCTGACTGCAGAAGGTTTAGGTTTTCTGATAATAAAGTGAAAGGCCTTGTCAGTAAACTCTGACCTCTGAGGCGCAGTCTTGTCTGGTGTCTTAATTTTGGCATCTACTCTCCCTATGGTTACCACTGACTAACCAAACTTAGTGTAACTGGTGGTTTGGTTTCTCCAGCACTGAGCTCAGTGGTTTTCCTTGACCAACTTGATCTCATTTGGCTTTCACTGGTATTGACAATCCTTTGAGATTCTGCTCTGTCTCCAACCAGTCCCTGGCTGAGCTGTCTTACCACATAGCTCCCGCTATGCAATAACTGTCCCCTTTTGTCATGGTGGCCCTATGGAAAGCCCCTTAGCACTTAACTGTGTTCCTCTTATGCCCCATAGGAAGCAAAAGGAAATCTGAGGGAACGAGAAATCTCAGGTTCTCTCTGCTAAACGTGATATGCCTTCATTCTGCTGTGCTTTACTAGTTTATGTGGTCATAGGAACACTTAGCAGGGTTCCAGATAGAAGTCAGTCTTGTCTGGCATCTTACTTAACCTTAGAAATTTCTGCTCTCACTTGCCCTGCCCCAGGCTGAACCCTAGGGAGGTCTTGGAGGGACCTAGCTGGCACTTTCTTGTTTCTGCCAAATCTGCCTCATTACTATCAAAATCAGTTATCCTCCTTTGGTCTGAGAAGCAGGTATTCTATGCTTTCCCTCCCTACTATATATACCCTTTCTTCTTACTAGGTAAACAAGGTGGCCCTTCCTTTCCAATGAAGCCTGTCCTTAATGGTAGCAAGACGTTAGGGTAAAAAGGAGCCCAGGGAGTAAGATATCCAACAGGGGAAAATGGGAATTCCCTGGCAGCCCAGTGGTTAGGACTCTGAGCTTCCAGTGCTTAAGGGTGCAGGTTTAGTCCCTTGTCAGGAAACAAAGAGCCCGCCTGAATGCCTAGGGAAAAAAAGGCGGGGGATGGGGGGGTGGTGGGGAGGTGGAGGGGGAAACGTTTAAGGTTTTGAAAAGCGTGGTTTTGGTGACCAAACCTTTATTCCTAATTACAGGTTCTTGGGTTATAGGCTTGAGTTTGGGGAAGCCGGGACAAATAGCGGGGAGAGGTATAGAGAGGGAGGTTAGGAAATTCTTACTGGTCCTGGACAAAGTGAGGTGAACAGAAAGGTTTGAGGTCACAGGGTAGCTAGTGTATCATTTTACCCCAACACTGCTGCTAGTGCATGTTGCTCAACATGCATGTAGCAAACAGGGAAGCCCAACCGCACAAAATGTTTGCATTTTACATTTTCCAACGTGTTCTTGCACATTCAACCACCTTGATTCAGATTAGCTCCCCATTCTAAATACAAACGTATACATGTCTGGGCTTTACTTTTCCAGATATCCATTTCTCACAAGTCAAATGACTTAAGTACTGAGGTCCGGCTTGGGTAAATGTTAATCTGTGTATACATGCCCCATTTCTTAAATGTAAGAGGATCAGAGGGCATACAACACACTGTAATTTCCCGTTTGATGTTTTAAGCAGCATGCTTGTTAATGTATATATTCATGTGCATGAACGGATGTTGGTTTCTGCTTCTTAAACACATACAGTACTATGAAGCTTATAGCTCCATTATGTTTACTGTTGTAATTATTGGTCTCTCCAAGTGTCTTTGCTGACAACCACTGCCTCTTCAGGAGCTACAATGTACACCTCAGGAATTAAATATTTGATAAATTAGTAAAAAGATACAGAAACTTATAGTTCACTTGAGGAACTTGTAACAGGTGGTTCAGTAGAGCTCTAGTGTGATCCAAAATTTTTCATATTTAACAAGTACTGTTGATTTTGATGGTGGTCCTAGAACAGTTTGAGAAACATTGCAATATTGCTTCCTAGGAGTTCAATGCCTCTGTAACAAATTAGGCTGGGACTTTCTTGGCAGTCCACTGGTTAACAACTCTGGGCTTCCACTGCCGGGGACGTTGAGTTCAGATCCCTTATTGGGAACTATGATCCTGCCTAGAGCGTGACACAGCCAAAAAAAAAAAAAAAATTTCACTTTGGGCAAACTTTGATAAATAATTTAAGGCTACTTCAATTTATACTCAACCCATCAAGACCGAATCTTTTATATGGAACAGTAATCCCCTTCAGAGTACCAACAATGTAAGGTGTTTTACATTCAATGATAGGGTTAAGAGAAAAACTGTTGATTTTCCTAAGATTCTGTGTATTCCAGTGGTTAGACTTAAGAGTAACTGCTGGTTCATTCAACAAAATTTAAAGTACTGTGCATAGACTCATTATGCAAACTATTAACATTTGAATAGCAGGTAAAATTTTTAAATTCCTTCTCACTCCTGAAAATACTTTTGTGCAATCTGGTCTACAATATTGTTGTTGGCATATTGATGATTTACAAAGTTAAGCTAAAACCACTTTTGAAACTACTTAAATTTTAAAAGTTCAATGCATCAGCTTATACAACTGGTTCAATGTTCCATTTTATCCAGTGCCTCTTTCAAGCTTGAAAATTTTCTCAAACTGCCAGCGTTCAAACACTATTTAGCGGTTAAGAATGGAAATGACAATTCAACCTATTTTTTAGTAGGTTGTGTTCAAAGTCTTGACTTTTCAAAGGCAAAAATAGGAACACTTTCACCGGTCTATTTACATAATTAACTTCCGAATGACAAGTGAAAACTCTGAAAGCCTGTATTCTCTCCAGGGATACTTTTTCCAATAGGAATTACAATTTGACTAAAGTATCATTACTGATAATTTTTTTCCAAAGGGCTCATTTCAACATGAATAGGTTACACTACCCTCAGCAACCCAAGCTTGAAAGTGAAAGTGAAGTTGCTCAGCCGTGTCGCGACTCTGCAACCCCATGGACTGTAGCCTACCAAGCTTCTCCATCCATGGGATTTTCCAGGCAAGAGTACTGGAGTGGGTTGCCATTTCCTTCTCCAGGGGAATCTTCCCGACTCAGGGATTGAACCCAGGTCTCCCTAATTGTAGGCAGACGTTTTTACCGTCTCAGCCACCAGGGAACCCAAGCTTACTCATGCTTAAAATACAGAAGCGGAAAGCTAACCAACATCCAGGTGGCAATTCAGACTAATTTCATCTTTGAGGAGACCTCGTCACAGGGAGCACTAAGTAATGTTGTGATACCACTGTCACTTACCGAGAGAACACTCATTCCCCCTCCTTGAACTAAGAGGGCGATCACTAAAATATTAAACACCTTCGCGTGTACTACTCACACGTTTTTCAGAAAATTCAGCTCACTTCAGCCTATCATATACATTTTTTCTAAACTTAGAATTGCATCCATGAATTCTTCCCCACATAATTGCTGCATTGTTCTCAGGCTTTCTAGACAAGTTGGAGGTTAACCAGTAGCACTTTTAAAGATTTATGAGCCAAGAACCAGGGGGAAAAAATTCTCCCAACAAACCAGAGCTATTTTAAAGATAGAAACCTAAGAATCTGCAAGCATATCACAAGTAATATGAGAACAGGAAGACTTGTAAAATTGGTATGACTCAGCTCTATGCTCAACTCTTTAAAATTAAGAACCCATCTACTGGAAGTTTTCAATTTACCACCCCCATGAAATCTGATTTATAAATGCTAGAAAAACACTTCACACAAAAAATACACAATTTAAGATTATTGTATTTCCTTACAAGAGGAACGTTTTAACAAATTTTACAGGTGTCAATCAACCCTTGTTCAAAATTGGGCACACATCAAATCTAGCATTATGGGAGTTTTATTTGGAAGTGAACTTTTTAAACTATTAATACAAATGCCAAAAGATACTACACAAAACATCCACAGGAATTTTTTTCATCTTTTTTTCTTTGAATTGTTCACAAACATTTCCTACATAATCCAACATACAACAGAGAAATGGTACATCTTTTTCTTTCAATTTGCATACAATGGAAAAACAAGAATATATATATATTTTACAAAGTTTAACTAATAGACACTACCAAGCTGACAGTTTTAAGTCTATACGTGAGAAATTATCTAATAAAAAATAATCAGAATTTATTTAGCATCAGTCACTTCCATAACCAAGTACTATTCTGATTAATAAAACTTGTCATTAACCTTCTGGTATAAACTTATACCACTATTCCATCGGTTGTGTTGCTCCCCACCTTGGTTCTTCAGAATTACGAACAGAAAATCGTTGCAAAGTAGGGGCAAGCATTTGCAAAAACAAACAAAAATCCCCAGCTTATTATAAGCATGAATGTGTGGTGGAATTTCCTCCCAAGCAATGAACTTCAAATCATTAAGAATCACCAGAACTGAGTATTGTCAAGATATTTTGCCTAAGTCCAAGAAGAGATGCCATTTATTTATATCCAACAGAGGACTGAAAATTAAACTTAGTGTTCCGTTTGGGGGTAGGTTGGAGGGAATTCAGCCATTTGAAAAATGACCATCTTAAAAAAAAAATGACCACCAAAAATAGGTTCACTAAATTTATTTTAAAAATCATAAAACGTTTCTTACAAAAGAGCATTACATTCTGCACACTGCTCTGAATAGATGCCAGGGACATATGGACTACTGTTACTTTTCCTCCCTGTCCCACCACCCCAAATGTTACAGTGACCACAAAGCAAAGTGTTCACAATAATTACATGGGGGGACTTCTTTAAACCACCAACAATGAACAAAAATTAAAATTCACTCACTCTGCTGCTGTTTCAAAATTTCAATGTTAGTTTTTGCACACCCTCCCCCACCCCCCACCCTGTTTGTAAGGAACTAAAACATTACATCTGGTGAACAGCAAAGATTTCACTACACCTCAAATGCAGAACACCTATGAAGCAGAGGAATGTTGGCTTTTTAAACAGAAGCAGATAAAAAAAAAAAGATGCAGGACTCCTTCAGTTCTTCACTAGTCTTAGAAAAACTTTCCAGAATACTGCTTCACACTATAAAAAAGAAAAAATATCTTGCATTAGAATCCTTCAACATCTGCATACTGCTTCACACTATAAAAGAAAAGAAAAAAAAGTACGAATTAGAATTTTTGTTCGTAACATCTGAATCAATCTTAATCAACATTAAGACAATTTCAATGCTAAATTAAAATGATAAACATGTCCATTACACAATTAGAGATAAGAACTAAAACATTAGTAATTACAAATTAGAGCAATGTAAAATCCAAGAAAAAAGATTAATAGCAAATCAGACATTAGTGGAGCAGAATTGTTAATATATGGCAGAAAAGACAAAGAAATGCCAGTTAAAGTGTGAAATGCTGCATTTTACAGCACCAATCATTTGTCCTGTAGAGGCATGGCCTGTGCCATATGGCAGACTGTGATTTGTTGTCGGTTCAGTTATCTAAAAACAACAAAATCACTAGTCTTCCACACAGAACTAGACCAACATCCACTGAATCTTCTACATTTTCTACAGGCTCTGTATAATTTGTAACAAGTGGTTTTGGCAGCAGTTTTCACCAGAAAAAATGAGAAGTTTGCTTGGTTAAGGCTTCTTCCAGTAAGATTAGTACCGAATGTCTTCATGTTTTAGCAAGAAGGCAGAAGAAAATTAAAGCAAAGCTATTAGAATATTTAGAAGTTAGGTCCCCAAAAGGTTGAGACACCATGGCTTCTAAAAGAAAAATCAGCTGAGAAAGAGAAGCTTTTTAAGGTTTTAGTATGTGTAGGCTAGTAACATAAAGCTAAACAAACTGACCTGTTCTGCAGCAAATACTGTGCATTCTGTATCTGGTCCTGTGTTCCTGTAATGGTAATGATCCGATCTTCGGATCCTTCTAAAGGCTCATCAATTTTGATCGAAGCTCCTGACTCATGACGGATTTGTTTAATCCGCTGACCACCTTTGCCAATAATAGATCCAGCCAACTGCAAAAATTTTTAAAAGCAAGTGTTTATGATATACTTAAAAAAAATTATCCTGTATGTTCAGTGACCATCAAGAGCATTCTTGTACAACTTGTTGACTACACTGTGTTAATTTAGTGCCCTCCAACCAGTCAGAGTTTGCATTACAATCTATTTACACCACCCACTGACATTTCCTTTAATAAATGAACCAGGGGCTCAAACCCCTGATAACTGCTTTTAATAGTACTGAACACTTTTTGACAAGGCTTAAAGTGGAGAACACTTCACTGAAGTCCTTGAAACACAATTTTAATCCTAAAAGGGAAACTTCTGTTAAAACCTCCGTTAAGTCAGAAAACTCATAAAAAATGACTCAGTAAATGTCTTTTATAATACTAAAAATACTTACATCTTTGGGAATAGTTACTTGTGTAGTAATAATAGGTCCACCAAGATCACCATATGAGCCACGACCCCCTGCATAGGAATAATCTGATTTAAATAATGAGTATTAAGTTCATATACAAAGCATGAAATAATGTTTGATTTCAGAAAGAAGAAAACTTACCATATCCAGAGCCACCCTAAAAACAGAACAGACAAGAACAGAAAGTTACTTTGCCTTCCAAACTTCAGGTAATGAAACACATTCCTAAAAAACCCCCAATTATTATTAGTAACCAAAGCCCTCCCGTATCTTCCCTAGTAAGCCAGTTTCAGAAAACAATCTTCAAGAAACCATTCAGGTACACAGCGTTCCAAAAAACAAAAATGTTATATAGGGGGAGATAAAATACTTAACTGGTGAGTAAACAAGCGTTTTAAAATTATTACTAAATAAACACCCATGATACTCAACCTGTGGTTCATAAGCCATCTGCCACTCTGATGGGCTCCATGTATCTATTGCAGAGTCCCAGGTTTCATCAGCACTGAAACCAACCTGTGTTAAGAGAGAAAACTATTAACATGAACCTGCACAGTATTTGTCAGAGCCGCCATTTTTATACAATCAATTTCTATTTCATGTCTCTCTATAAGTTTTCAGTAATCATGTATTTTGGGGGCAAACAAAGATGGAACAAATCCTAATATCCCAGCAGAGTGACTAACATAGTCTATTTGTAAAACAAGTTCTTCAGTTAACACATTCAATAAAATGTTAGCAATCTGATTTTTAAACCCCTTGGCTCTAATACATTAATGAAGTTATCAATGTTCTTACCATGCCATCATAACGGTCTCCAGGTCTTCCTCTTCTGTCATAGGCCATTAGATCTCTGCAAGCATAGTAATTGTTGTAATCTCAGCTGGTCACGTATTTGAAATGAAAACCTACCCCCTTCTATCTGTGAAGTGCTGCTTCTTGTATGTCAATGTGTGGATGAAAGAAACTTACCCTCCTCTAGGTGGTGGTGGTGGTGGAAGAGGAAGATTCCGAGCTCTACTACCACCCCGGCCACCTCGCCCGGGAGGGGGTGGAGGAGGTCCTCGACGAGGGCTCATATCATCATAATCTCTTCTGGAGGGAGGCATGGGACGCCCACCCCGACCAGGTGGCATTCTGTCAAAACCACCTCTTCCCCGCATGGGAAATCCCACAGGACGTCCACGGCGGTCATCAAACATCATTGTAAAACCACCATAGTCATAGGTCTCATCATAAAAATTGGGATCGTAAGGCTGAGCACGTCCTTTGATGGGAGACTGAAACAAAAACACAGCAAACTTTATAGACTGAGGGGAAAAAACCTTAGTTCACACTAACAATTCTTTCAACAGAAAACTTCAAGTACTTTGTATTTCTCTTGGGAAGTACTTGTGGTAAGGATAGGGACAGGAATATATGCAAACATAATATAGAAAGATTTTTAAAAATGCATTTCTGGTGAGTTTGAAATAAAAAAAGTTGGGAGTTTTCCTGCTCGTGAGGCAGCAGTTTAATTCTACTCTTAAGAGCTAACATAAAACACCACAAATTCCTTTCAATTTCACAATGGGGATTATGAAGAAATTACTACCCAGAGGAGATCACTATCTAGGGTGTGCAATGTAGTACTACAGAGGAACCATAAAAACTTCATTTGAATGATCAAAAGTTATTAAAAAACCTCACCAACAATCAAAAGACAACCGTACAGATTCTCCCAAAGTATTTCTAAATTAAATTGATGGAAAAACAGGGTGATAGAAAATTGTTAAGGAAAAGTAATTTGTCTTTGGCTTCTGAAATTACTTTTGAGTAAGACATCTGTTTTGTGAAATTAAATGTAAATAAAAGTGTTCTGAAGGTACCTCTGATATAAGATCAAGGATGATCTTTATGCACTCTACAACCCTATCAGGTTTTCCTCCGATAAGAACGACTCTGTCAGTAGATTGAGGACAACATTCCTGGAAAAGCTTGATTGTTGTCTGAGTGTTCTGCAATAGGTTTACAAAATAAGCAGCATTAATTAATCAGAAAAAAAAAGAAAATGCACTAAAGAAATAAAAGTTCCAGGTTTAGACAGACTTAATTTATATTTTAGTAAAATTTCCCCCCAACGTAAAATCCTTGTTAGTAAGGGTTAGGCTTTGCAATACACTTTTGGCAAGTAACTTGTCTAGTATGGCCAAGCCATTCTGCTATATTTTAATTAGCAAACTATGTAATCTTAGGGGGAGGAAACTCAAAAGAGGGAATGAGAAAAGCCTACCAAATCCTTATAAACTATTTTCCAGTAATTCAGCAGGAAAAAACGAAACACTGGCTTTACCTCTCGAAGTTCTTTGATTTTAGCACCTTTGACTCCAATAATTCCTCCTGCCAGACTCTGATGAATCAACAGTCTCAACTCGCAGTCAAAGTCGCTTCCTTTATAGTGTTGGTACTGTGGAAGGAGTTACAGAATTTCAGTTCCAAATCAAAGATTCCCCAATACACACTTATCTGCTATAAGCATACCAATATACTGTTGCAGTGAGCAACCTGAATTTATATTTCAATAACTTTACCAGTTATGTGCTATTATCCTCAATAGCCAGGCCCAAAAAGGACATTCTGCACCACCTTAAAAAACTATTTTATTTTCAGGTCCTGCAACACCATACCCACACTGCAGCCATTTAGCATGTCGCTGTTACCACAAAATTATTATTAACATTCAAATAACACCATAATAAAAATGACTGCAAAGCACTTTGCAAATGTAGTTAATTCCCACTGCAGCATGGAGCAGGGTCAACAGTGAGTTGTAAGACCATTCATTTATCATCATTTTAAGCCTTTTTCTATAGAGACGGGAAAAGTACACTATGTTGAAAATAAAATCGATCCTATGGGCCAGGCTCCATACTTCAGTGGGGTTCAATGGCACTATGACATACATTTAAGCATTCCACAGCATCAGATTCGAGCGGGAGCTGGCTGGTTGCAGTGGGTGATGGCAACTGCAGGCCCTGAAAGTAGAAAAATAAGAGTAATAGGTTAAGTGTCTAGTGTGATCAGGCTATTGTCGCATATATTGGTAAAGCTACTACAACATATTTCAAGACTATCATTAAATAACAAGAAATTGCTTATCTACACTAACAGTCAACATACAATACTTTTTTATCTGTACACCTAGCAAACAAGATTACACAGAATTTAAAAATACTCAAACTAGATCAAACGTAGTCCTTTCCAACATAGTCTCAGTCAGTAGTCTAACTCAAAACCTCTTCTAAAAATAAAGCCCATAATATACATGCTAAACTCCATGAATGTGCACAACCACAGGCACTTCCTATCTACTCCAGAATGGCTAGACTACCATTTTTAAACAAGTAATGTGGGATGTAAAAGAACCCTGCACTTTAAGCAGCAGAGTGTAACACATTGCTGCTAAACAACTATTATATCCAGTGTCTCTCCGCCTCCCCCATTTTATCCCATTAAATATTAAGCACCCCCCATTGTGAAATACATTAAAAAAAAAAGAGCCTACCTCTTCCAAGGTAGGGATGATTTTCTTCAGAATTTCTCCAATCGTTTCAATATCAGCACTGATACTCAATATGCTGTCAAACACCACAAATACCAGATAGTACAAAAAAAGGTGGAAAAGAAAAATGAGTTTTGTGGTCATCACCAGTAGTCAAACAAACTTTTACAGAGATGAACATACAATTATTTAATAGTCCCCATTTAAAGTAGCCTATTTATACATTTTTCACATGCATTTTGTTTTATGCCCAATACGAACATGGTAACAATATTAGGAGACTTGCAGAGAGACAGAAAGAATGGGCTCTTGGAAGGGCTCAGATTAAGTGGGCAATAAATTGACCAGAACTGAAGCAGAGTTGAATATTTATGTTCCCCGCCACCACTAAGTTAATTAAGGATACCCTCGCTGTTACATTGGAAAAACTGGCACACCTTCTCTCAGGCAAAGTAGGGGAATATGCAAGTGGTAAACATTGTATTTGGAGTAAGGTTATGGATACCAGTTAGAAATTAGATCACTAATGGGCTCTGCAAGAAAACAAATACAAATGCAAGACAAAAACAAAGACAACACAAATGAGAAGTGAAGGAAAGTGAACCAGAGTTAGCATTTCATCAGAAAAAATTATGAACAGGCAATGTTGGGAAGCAAGGTGGGCCACAAAGACAGAGCGAGAGACTGTTTCGGTAACAATTTGATTTACAATGCAGCAAATATGCAACACTTGAAGCTGTGCTCCTTCCATTGAAATAAAATTAGTGGATCGTTTGGGTGGGCAACTCACGGTAAAAGTTCAGTGACAAAAAGACTTAATGGGGAAAATAAGACAGAAACTTGAAAAACAATACACCGTCTAAAGGGGATACTATTTAATTATATAAAAGGCAGGTAATAAAATACATTTCTCTCTTTCTAATCAGGCAGTGAGGCATAAACTGTTGGGACATACCGCTCGGGGCCACTGCTGTCTGGGACTGAAACACTGGCATTGTACTGCATTGGTCATTGGCGTTCGTGGATGTTGGCATTGGGCATGGGCATTCAATCAGAAGTTGTCAAGTATGGTACCCGTTTGGCAACGAGCACATTTTTGGGCATAGCCAACCAGGGTTTTCACATGGGCGTTCAGGGGCGGATGGGCCAACGTCATGGTGGGCAACGCAGGGGTAAGTCGATCCAGTACATGGGCAACGGAGATATATGGCCAAAAAAACAAGGAGAGGGAAAAGGGGGAAAAGCAATAAATTTTAATTTAATACAAACTATACTCATACTCTCAATTAATGAAACAAGCTTAAGTTGTTCTGAAGACTAACACAATAATGGACTTCTCTATATCTGACTGTGGCTTAACATTTAAGGACCTTTAATGATGGTACTTTTAAAAAACAAACGATGTTTCAGTAGCAGGCTGGCTCATGAGGGTAGACACAAAACCTGTCATGACTTGAATTCTTGAGGAAACGGGGAAATTATTAACCCAGATAATTATATAGAACATCTGGATTAAGAGGAAAGAGGTTTATAAAAGACAAAAATTCCCACACCACCGAAAATCCTACTTAAAGACTAATTTGGTTTCCTGGAGGTTTAAAATGCATTCCTAGGTCCTAACAGGCAAGTTTGTAAAATTTCAATTTTTAAGTTCAGTTTACAGTAATCAAGAGGAACATACAAAGATCTGCGACCAAGAGAGAAATGAAATACTATCAAATAAGTTTTCAACACAAAGTTCTTATTTGCCTCAACTTCAGCAAGGAAACATCAAGAGTGTGTAACATGAGAAAAAAAATTAAGAAATTTGGTGTAGCCAAGTCCTATAAATATGCTCACTTCTGGTGATACCAACATTTAATGTGTCTAATCACAAGAGTCAACCCACTATAAAATATGAAGACACAAATTATCAGCATTGACAGACGGTCTCCCAGTTATAAAATTAAGTTCCTACTCTATTCTTTACCCATACCTAAATCATGCAACCTCAATTTCTTTGTGCTCCATGTGCAAGCTGTTCAAGAACAGATGGGCAAATTGGCGGGAAAAAAAGGGAATAAAAATTTGGAGTTTAATCAGCCACCTGCAATGGTTTTCAGTACTACTGTACTTGGTTCACACATGGGAAATGGTGCAATTAAGGGGTTTTATACTGTTATTTCTAATTAAGATGTTATCTTCCTTGAAGTGAATAATCTGGTGTAAAGTTATTAGAAAGTGAGGAGGTTTAATATGGACCCCCCAACTCAATCTGGGCTTTGTTAGGAATGGCAAATCTTTAGAATTATCTATGTAATCAATTATTATAAAAGGCTTGTATCTAGGCTATTAAATGATTTCTATGATGCAAATCTTTAAATTTCTAAAAACACATAAACTGAAGCTGCCTGTGTAGTAGTTTAAACTCTTTAATACTTACGTCTGTACGGAGAGCCTTAATATTCTTGCCTCCTTTTCCAATCACTGCTCCAGCATTCTAGAGAAAATAAAAAGAAACACAGTGTGTCGTCTTAAACTTTTAGTCAAAAACAAACACCACACAAGTTTAGCCTATCTAACCTCTTGTTTGGTCATAGCAATGGAAATCTATTTGGGGATATTAAAACCACCAGGTTTAGACAAAAACCAAGAGTCTATGTTACATGCTCTGGGAACTAAATACCTAGACAGAGCTTTGAAATATTCAGAATGCCATATTGAGTATAAATCTTAAGCACTGGCACCAATTTTACAATACCCTTCCGCATATCAATTACCTTAAATTCTAGCAGATGCTTTCCCATTTTTAGCTGTATATTAGTCAGGTAAGCTGGCAATCAGGATGTTATCTAATGAACCCACCATGTAATAAAAAATAGCATCTTTAAGGCATTAATGCTATAAGGACCATTCACATCCATCTCCTAATTAGGCTTGTAATAGTTCACTATGTTAAGGGCTTTCATTTTAATCATTAGCAAAATAACTGCCATTGGCCTAAAAATCTAAGTCTGTTTGCTTAGAAAAGAGCCACACAAATATTTTACATTCTGCAGCCTTCTGAAGGCATCCCAGAAGGCTCAAACGTTTTCTTAATTTCTACTTTGAGTAAGAACCATTTCAAAAATAAAATCTATACCTTGCTCTGAAGCAGAATGCGTAATTCAACCATCTCATCAGTGTTTCTAGATCTTTTAAAAGCTTGTTCCTCTTCCATATCTTCAGCAGGGCGTTTACCTAAAAATTAAGAGTTTAGATTTCAGAGAGCACCAGCATCTTCAAGAAAGGGTACCTTTAACTACATTTTAGTTTTAACCTACAGATTAACATTTAATTCCATTCCCTCTGAAGGGATTAGTTGTTGAAGCTTGTTAAAAGAAAAAAGGGGGCACTCAATCTTCAACTATTAAATCAAAATACACTCCCTTAATTTTCCAAACAAGAAATATACTGTGACAGCACATCAAAGGATTAGAAACTTCTAAATCCAAGAAAAAAACTTAAGTTTTGTATTTACTAGCTTTCATCTTTTAATCGGTTTCCTCACATACGCAAATCAGTTACTTCTAGTTCAAAAAAGTTACTTCTAGTTCAAACAAGGATCTCAGGGAAAGTAATGGTGAAATTAACAAAACAAAAAGAAATTGTTAAAATGTTTTCTCACCAAATTCTCCATTGGTTTCGGTGTTGGGAAAGGTTTCCTCTGGCTGTTCAGTTTCCATTTTCTTGTATTCAAGGGACACACCAATCTGTTAAAAAATAAAGAGGCTAGTACACTTGGTTTCTTGGAAGTAGGCTGTGCAGCGTGCTAAATATTAAAGACAAGGGAAAGAAATGACTGTTTCCAGAACGTACCAGTTATTAAATATATCCTTCCAGGGCAGAACTGAAGCGTTCTGGGCGGGACCAACTGACACCCTAGAGCTGTAGTAGCCTACGAAAACCAACACAAATCAGTTTTGCTTTTTTGGTTATTACCGAATACTAATGACTACAGATTAGAACACAACAAAAGAGCCATTCCTAAAACATGTTTTAGGATCTTAAATTTCCAAAGGACCGCCCTAAAACACAATTCAAAAGACCTATCTGATTTTTCTGTAAAACACCATAATTTTTAATCCTTGGATCAAGTTCCACCACAACAATGTTTTATATAAATACATAGAAACCAGACGCATAAGGCATTGAAGCCCCCGAGTCTCGAGTAATGTTCTCGAAAGAAATTATTACATTTGGATTCTAAACTTCTGGGTTTCCTTCCATCGGTGACTTGAAAAGTCTACTTGAAATATAAAAGCAAATTCAAGCCGTACCCAACCGTCAGGTCAATCTACTGGAGCGATAAACAGGCAAACCTGAAACAGGAGTACACCGAAACTGCCTGTACTACTCGACTAACAGAACCCTTGAACGCCAGTAACATCACTAGCGGGATATTTCAAATTACGTTAAAAGCGGTATAACCTGACAATTTCTTTCAGCACCACCAGACTGGCGATAGGACTGTTAACAGCCGTTTAGCTCCCCTCTCCTGACTGGCAGGAGGCGACATGCTGCTCCCGTTATAAGACAAATAGCTAAACAGCTCACAGTCATGGCAGTATTTACGCCTTCAACTCTTCCCAGTAACCGAAACGCCAACCTGGCCCAACACTCAAATACTGAGGTGCTACGCAAGATTTAGATAAAGGAGTCTGACGACAAATAGCAGGCTGTTTATAAGGATAAACCCAATATCCTTCAAGTGCTTTAGTCGCCAGATTCAAAAAATCGCTGAGTATATGCGCTACCAGCCAAGGGCAAACATGCCCTCCTCCCCTCAACGCCCGAAACCGGGATCGGCAACCGCCAAGCAACAGGAGTTGAGAAAGCTCCCGAGGCGAGAGCACCAGCGCCGCACCTCTCCCCAGCCCGATCCGACAGGAAATGGCGGCCCGCGTAATGGCGACTACGTGCTACTAGGCGGAGCCGAGCGCGGACCCCCTCCCCCACCCACCACGCGGTCCCGAGACCTCGTCCCCCGCACCCTCCCCCCACCGCGGGAGACAAAGCAACGAAGGCAGCCCCGACCCTTCCAGCTCGCCCGTTCCAGACTCAGGCCCGGAGCGCCCAAGTGCGGCGGGCCCCATACAAAGAGAACGGCGGCGTTCTCTACCGCCCCCCGGCTCCCTCTCCTTCCCACACAAGGCCTAGTTCCCATCACAACAAAACTCATCCCACCGGCACAAGCCTCGCGACTCTCCGAAGCCTCTAGTGCCACAACGCGGATTGCATATATACGCTCAGGGAAATGGCGGAGGTGGGGGGAGGGGAAACCCGGCAACGTTCCCTCCCAGAACCCGCCAACCACCACCAAGCCCCCAAACTCCTTCCCCGAAGTGGAGAAAGTACTCTCCGGCCCTCACCCCCACGCGCCATTTGCCCAGCCCCATTCCTCACCCGGCAAGGGTACCGTCCCTATGCCGCCGCGCCTCCTCAGCCGGTCACAGCTAGACAGAGAACAAGCGTAGGCCCCCAATGCCCTCCCCCGCCTCCACGCACTCTCTTACCCCGCCGCCGGGCCCGATTGGCTGCACCGGCTACAGCGGTGGCGCGAGAGCGAAGCGATTGGCCCAAGGCCGCGTCAATCAAGGCGCCGGAGAAGGCGACAACCCCGCCCCGCGCCGGCGCCTCCCTTCAGGCTGTAAGGCCGCTAAGGGCCTGAGAAAAATCAGACTTCGAAAAAGTCAACGCAGTCTTTAGGGAGGCCAAACCCCTGCCCGAACCCGCAATGCCCAAGCCCCAATAACTCTAATTACCTATAGGCCGCAAATAAGCGGGAAGTAGGCAAGACGTCGAGGTCGGTGCAGCAGAGAAACAGAGGATAATGGCGTCTGCAGTGCTTTCGCCTGAAGCGCCCTCCTCCTTTCTCGTTCGCGCACTCACTGGCTGGGGCGGGGGGGGGGGGGGAGGGGGAGGGGGAGGGGGGAGCCTCTCGCGAGAACTAAAGGCTGTCCCGTTCTCGCGCACAGGGAGGGGCGGGTAGGGGGCGCTTCTGGACCAGGAGTCTTCTGGGGTGGGAGGAGGGGCGTGAGCGCGCGGCAAATCGGGCGGGAAGCAGCGAAAAAGGATTAGGGCGCGCGCTGTGGCGGTTCCTAGTCTCACGGTCGCGTGCCCGGGAACCGCTGTTGCGCGTGGGAAGGCGGGACGCCAAGGTCGGTGTAGGGCCAGACGAATGCCCCCCTTTCGACAGCCCTCATTCTCGTCTTCTTCCCTCCCCGGTTCTCCCCTCCCGCCCAGGCTGCAGGGCGAGCTGCGCGCTGGTAAGTGCAGCCAGCTTGCCGGCCCGGCCCACGCCGCGCTAACCCGCTGTGTGTAACGGGCCGCAGCGCCCTTCAGGCGTGGCCCGGGCAGGGGGCGCAGCCAGCAGGTTGCGGTCCGCGGTCGACTGGCTGCTCGGGCGGGATTCCGAGAAACGCTGGCAGTCCCGCCGGGCTGTGGCGGTCGAGCCTTGGAGTCCTGCACGGTTCGCCCTCTTTGCTTCCGGCCGGGAGCCTGCGCTCGCAGGGTCTTTACCGGGCTCTGCGTTCTAATGAAACTTTCTTTTCCCTTTCTTTTCTTTATTAATGGGGCCTGTGATACGAGTATTTTATAGTGTCGTTGCTGTAGTTGCGTGTGAAAAATTTCTGAAAGTATTGCTTTCATCTCCTACAATGAATGCAAATCGCAAAATGAGTTGTAGACATCCGCCTTCCGTTCACTCACCTTCTTAAATCACCCACTGTGTGTCGGCAGTGACTTAGCCTAAACCTCTCGCCCTCATATAGGTATGTTATCGTCCTAGGGTGTTCAGGTTATACTTACTTTGTGTTCGGCTACTTCTGAGGCCTCTGTGTCAGGCTTTGATTTTTTTTTTTTTTGTTAAGGCCCTTAGGTCCAGAATCGGTGACAAACCTCGGAAATTGCCAGTAGCAGTACCCAGTCTCCACATCCCGACTCAACCCTCCAGCTCTCACCCACAATCCCAAACTTGGTTTGAAAAGGGAAAATGTTATAAGTTACACGTGAAGCCAGATCTATCGTTAGAATACACATTTTTTTGGGTAATGATGAATTTGTGCTGATTCATTCCATTGTAATTTGATTTCCCTCTTGAATACTTTGCAAATTAGATGTAACCAGCGTCTCTAAGAATTGTCTGTGATTTTTTACCACCTGTTTTACTTGCTTAATTAGGAAGAAAACTTTTTAGGGGGAACTGAGGACTTCATGAAGCACCAAATATTTACTGGCGGGAAGGGTAGTTAAGTACTGTTGGACCATAGTGTCTGGCATTGTGGGGTTTATAAAAGGCTCTTTGAGTTGTAGTTTTTTAATGGCCCCCATGTGAAGAATATTATAGTCTTGTTGGGAAGTAAAACTTAATGTGCGTTTGGTTTTATGATACATAGTTCAAATTTTTATTTAATGTTCAAGAAAAGTTGATTGTATGAAGGGGCTGGGGATATTTGGATTATAGAGATTTAATCTGCCAGTCAGGATTTGCAACATTTAATTGAATCTGTCTTTCAAAACCAGGGATACTTCACTGACACGACTAGGCACATATAGGATAATGTACTGAGGGTGCTTTCTTTCAAACTAGTATTTCTGTTGAAACCATCATTTTCTGCCTTGATAAACAGTGATGACTGGTGAGCAGGAACGCAAAGTAAGCAGCTCTAAGAATTTCCCAGTTTCACTGTTCTCTGACTGGACCCTCAAAGCTGAAAGCTCTTATTCACCCTTTTCAAGGTTTTTTTTTTTCTTTTTCTAATTGATTTTTTTAAATAACAAGAAAGTCTGTTTTTTCCACCGTCTTTTCAAACAAACTATTTTACACCTGCTTCATTCAGAGACACCAGTTTGAGGAAGGTCTGTCCCTTAGCCAGCCTTTCTCTCATCCTATTATTTTCAGCCAAGCTGTGTTTTATCTGTGCTTATTCAAGGACTTACCAACTTGATTGACATATTGTGGCTCTTGTGTAATTAATTGTATGATTATTTGGGCTCCTGATGAATTTAAGGCTGGTATTACTTAGCTGTGGAATTTACATTAGATAAACTAATATAATTGAGATTGTACTCTAGTCAGCTGGATGATTATTTAAAATTTTGTAGCTATTATTTTTTGAGTTTGTGCCAGACTTTGTGCTGGCAGTTTAATTCTTATTACAGTCTTGTGCGTAAATTGTGGATAAGACAAAAAGAAGTTAAGGAACAAGTCTAAGGTCACAAAGCAGAGATGCAAATCAGACTCCTATACCTGTTTTCTGTCTTTTCTTGCATTAGGTTATGGAGGATCCACAAGCAGCTTCACTAATTACTTCTTTCTGATTTAATCCATTAAATATAATTTTTTCCCCACAATTTTCAGAAAGTGTCTTTTCAGAATTCTTGGGTTACCTTAACATTATTCCCAAGAGTTAAAAACAGACTTATGTGTATTTTTTAAGGTGAAGGCAGTGGAAACATGAAACGGTTAAAACTTAAATATTTGTTAGCGCTTTTAAGTCTTAACTATTGATTGAATGCCACATACCGTGTCTAAAAGGATGGTACTTCTGCCTCTTGTTCTATTTGTTAAAAAATTGGAATATGTGAGGCTGACTGAAAATTAACTTATAGGTGAAATTTGTGTAAATCTTAGTAGTGATGAATGATATTATAAAATTTTCCTACTCTGTTCTCTTCTGCTCAGTTCCTTCAGTCAAGATCTAGAATGTAGATTGCTGTGTCAGCCAAGTTAAGCAGGAGCAAGATGTAACTCAGTTTTTTAAAAACAATTTTTTTACGTTATAAAATTAATGGAGATTAATGTAGTTTTACATATGGTCTTTTTTCCTAACAAAATAAAATAACATATTTTCATGTCATTAAATAGTCCTTAAAAATATTTCTTTTAAAACTATTTTCTGGATCCAGTGTGATTATGTATTTATTTATTTTACTGTTGTTGAACATTTAGTTTTTTCCCACACTGTAAAAGCTTCGTGATAAACACTCTGGCACATAAATCTTTGTCCTTATTTCTGATTGTTTTCTTAAGATTAAGTTTTGAAAAAGTAGATCCTATGGTGTGAACATTTTTTACTGTACGATTTCAACAAGGTATACTTTTTTTATATTCTTTCATGGACAGTGATGTTCTTGAGGATCAGGGGCTGGGAAGTTGCGGTGCTCTAGCTGACACCTCCCCTCTGAGTTGCTTACCTGCAGACCATGGTTACTCAATTTCTCAAGAAAACGAGGAACAAAAACCTTAGAAATTCTCTTGAAGGAATAGATGCAAGTAATACAATTTACTAAATTATTAAGGAGCTCAGTTATTGAAATCCAGTCTAAACTTTATAATTTCACATGATAATACTTTTTCCATTTAATAATTTAATAAGCTTTTATAATAATTTAATAAGCTTTTCTTTTTTAGCTGTAGAAAAAAATTTATATGAAACATCTTTTTATAAAATTGTTTTAATATGCATTTGTAGGCACTAAATTATGTTTTATGTCGCTATGCCTTCCACCTTACTTTCTTTGCTGTTAAATGAAGAATTCTATGCATATTCTATGCAAATGTGCATTTAGTTACGGTAACATTATTATAAAATTATAGTACATCTCTGGAAGTGGAGATCCAAACCCTAAGGGTAGTATTTTGAGAAAATTATTAATTAGGAATTTGTCCAGACTACTCTCTCAAAGGATTTTTGTCACTTGCCGTGTTCAACAACACAAACAAGGAAATGCATGTTTGAAATAAGTACAAAATTAAAAAAATAAATGAATACATAAGTCTTAAAATATCAGTTTGTGAAATTTAAAAAAATTTAAAACTACTTTATGTGGTACTTTAGTAGAGTTATAGCAAAAGGAAAAGTAATAGTGATAACACTGCTTTGAAGCTGTTAGAAAGATAGATGCAGTAGGTGATGTGTTTCTTTCATTTGACTTTGTAAATGAAATAATTTAGAATGTACTAGGTGAGCTTGTCATTTATATGAGATCAGAGAAAAGTCTGTTGATTGTTAATACTGTGGTGCTGTTATAAACTAGCCATTTATGAATGTGTTTTGTATGCAAGTGGGTATATGTAAATGAGAGACCAACTTTACTTTCTCTTTTCACTTAAGTCAAACAGTATCTAGAAAAAGGTATAGGAATGGAGATTAGCAGAATCTAGTTCAGAGCCTGCTACTATGTATGATCTTTATGTCTTTAATCTTCATGCCTGTTTCATTCTCACCCAAATAGATGACAGTACCTACCTTTTCTATCATAAATGACTATTTTGAGGTTTAGGTAATATTACAGATGTAAAATAATATATTTTGAAAAAGTTTAAGATCTTACAAATGAGAGGTTTTAATTTTTACTGACCTTTTCTTTAGTTCTCTGTTTATACAGCTATACTGCTGCTATATGGAGTTGACACCACTGAAATTCATTTCTTTCATTTCATTTTCTGTCCAGCCTTGACCTTTTCAATTCACAGTCAGTCAGTCTTCCTTTTTATTGGTTTCTTCCTCCTCCTAGAAGTATTAACAGTATTAACTCCTGCTATTTAACAGGTTCAGGTAGAAAATGGCATTTGTGTTAAGTATCTGCGTGTAATAACTTAGGGGTGTATATGTGTATATACTGTACATCCTGGGTAATTCATAGTACACAACATTCTGCGAACAACTTAATTGATGCGGCATTTATACTTGCTAATTCATTTAAATAATTCTAACTACTGAAAGTACACTTTGTCTTGATTTCAGTTTACTTAATGACTATCATCTCATTACAACACCCCTGCGAATTATACTAGGCCCATTTGCCAGTGTTGTGGTGGTTAAATTTTCGTAAAGAAAATAAAGTAACTTACTGAATGAGTATTCCTGAGAGCCTTGGATGTAGCTTAATTTTTGAGGTTAATAATGTCAACAGATAAAAACATCTATAAAGTACAGATCTGTGTCTTGAAGATAAGATATCACTCAACTATGGCCTCATAAAATCATGCTTGGAGATTTTAACATGCCTTATTTTAGTTAATTTCATGTGTTGATGGTATTTTGTTCTAGGTCCATCTTTTAAGCATACAGCTGAACTTGGTTTATTCAATTTGAGAGTGTCTTTTAAGAGGTGAGTTAATCTATGTCATTATGATTGCTGATATATTTAGACTTATTTTTACCATCTTGTTTATTTCTGTTTATCAGTTCAGTTCAGTCGCTCAGTTGTGTCCAACTCTTTGTGACTCCATGGACTGCAGCATGCTAGGCCTCCCTGTCCATCACCAAATCCCAGAGCTTAAACTGATGTCCATTGAGTTGGTTATGCCATCCAACCATCTCATCCTCTGTCATCCCCTTCTCCTTCCTTCAATCTTTCCAGCATCAGGGTCTTTTCAAATGAGTCAGTTCTTTGTATCAGGTGTCCAAAGTATTGGAGGTTCAGCATCAGTCCTTCCAATGAGTATTCAGGAGTGATTTCCTTTAGGATGGACTGGTTGGATCTCCTTGCAGTCCAGGGGGCTTTCAAGAGTCTTCTCCAACACCACACTTCAAAAGCATCAATTGTTCAGTGCTCAGCTTTCTTTATAGTCCAACTCTCACATCCATACGTGACTACTGTAAAAACGGGTGTGGGCAATTTTTAATTCATTTTTATTGAGTTTGTTGCATATTGCTTTTGTTTTATGTTTTGTTTTTTTGGCTGTGAGTCATGTGAGATCTTAGTTCCCCCACTAGGGGTTGAAGCCACACTGGACTGCCAGGGAAGTCCCCCTATTGAATTTTGAAATTCTTTTTGTAGTCTAAATATGTCTTTTGTCAGTTATGTATTTCTCCCAGTCTGTGGCTTGTCTTTTGTGTTTGTTTGGCTTGTCTTTATACTTTTAGCAGTGTCTTTCCTAGAGCAGAATTTTAAAATTTTGGTGAAGCTCAATTTATTAGTTTCTTTTTTTTATGAATTATGTATGCTTCTAGTGTTGTATCTGAGGAAACTTTTAAGAAACTAAGATCACAAAGATTATTCTAACTTTCCTTCCCCTTAAAAAAATGAAATATAATTGACATATAACATTTTAGTTTCAGTTGTACAACATGATAATTTGTATTATTTGCAGAAAGTGAAGTCGCTCAGTCATGTCTGACTTTTTGCAACCCCATGGGCTATAGCCCACCAGGCTCCTCCATCCGTGGGATTTTCCAGGCAAGAGTACTGAAGTGGGTTGACATTTCCTTCTCCAGGGGATCTTCCCGACCCAGGAATCGAACCTGGGTCTCCCGCATTGCAGGCAGACTCTTCACCAGCTGAGCCACCAGGGAATCCCTATTATTGCAGAACTCACCACAATTAAGCCCAGTTGACATCCATTACCACACTTAGTTACAAAATTTTATATTTCTTGTGATGAGAACTTTTAAGATCTACTCTCTAGCAACTTTTGTATTTTAACTACAGTGACCATACTGTACATTACATTTCTATGACTTACTGATTTTATAACTGGAAGTTTGTACCTTGTGACCCCTTTCGTATGTTTCGCCCACCCCTGACCTCTGGCAGCTGTCGATCTGTTATCTGTTATATATGAGCTTTTTTTTCTCCTACCTTTTTTAGTTTTCACATTTATATCTGTGGTTCACTTAGAATTAATTTTGTATATGGTATGAGGTACTGGTTGCGGTTTATGTTTTTGTGTATGGAGATATCCTACCTCTCTGAGGATATTAATAATAGTTTACTATTTTCTAAAAACGAGAGGACTTACTATTATAATATACAGAAATAATTTAATGCCTTTTCTCAAGAGTATATCTTGAGCTAGTCTATGGGACAGGACTTCTTTCCTGGTCCATTTATGCAGTAGTTTTTATGGATCTGCCAGATGTTGCAGACAAAGGCCAAGAGGTTATCTAGGACTTCATCCCTGTTTTGCCAGAAGTAGACCTGAAGGATAGTCATCCCTGGGTCTCCTTTTCCACCTCACTGCTGCAGCTCCCATGGCATCCAGAGCTCTGGTTTCTTTGACTTTGAGCCCTTCTCCCTCTGTAGGTGGTCAGTTTCAGTTTCAGCTGCTTTGGCCTGCTTTTGCCTTAGGTTGCTTGTGAACCTCCGACATCTTTTTCTATCCTTTAATTTTCACAGTAGCCCTCTGAAGTAAGTATATAGGTGAGGAAGCAAGCTAAGGTAGAGTGTCTAAGTTTCTTGTGGTCATTTGCTTTTGTTTATTTCGTTCCAGACCTCATGTTTTTATTGTGTACTCCACTCTACCCTGATTGATAATAGGAACCTTCAAAACCATACCATCAAACTCTTACACTTACGAAAATAGGCCGGTGATTGTTTCTGCAGCTTCCTCTTAAAACCTTTACTGTCTTTTGTCTTAGCTCTCAGGCCATTTCTGAGCAATAGAGGTTACAAGTACTCCACTGAACAACCAGTTCTAAATCCTGTCATCAAATCCTGTGCTCCTGTTCCAAATGGTAAGTTTTCTTATGGGCATATTAAAACTTTTATAAATTCAGAGTCTACCTCTGTTGAAGAAATTTAATTTGTGAGAAAAGCTTAGTCTTTTTAGTGTTTTGCTACTTTTTTTTATCATACTGAGAAAATCAGAAGTATATTTACGTGATACAACTGTTAAGAATCATTTAGATAAATAAGATGCTTTACATCAGCTAAGAATCTGTTAACTTGTTACAATTTTACTTGATTATTATATTAATATAATAACTACTAACATTGTATGTATTGCATAGGTCTAACATTGTGCTTTACAAATATTAATCCTTTAATCCTCACAACAACCCCTTTAGGTAGGAGGTGGTATTGACATTTTATAGATGAAAAAACTATGTTAGAAGAAGTTAAGAAATTTATGCTAGGTTGTAGAGCTTATAATTTGACAGAGCTAGCCTTCAAACCTTTGTATGTCTGTCTCAAATTTTTTGCTTTTCTCATTATACCATCTGATTACTTGTGGCATTTGAATTTTTGCTATGTAGAAAGTCAAAGAATTACAGACATGCTGGAGAGAAAGTAAAGGTTTGGTCCTGTGTTTGCATTGTAGAGAATTATAGAAACTCTATTTAGATGTATTGAATTACCATAATTTGTTTGTTTGTTTTCAGGTAATAGATGCCTAATATTTCCTTTATGTGAAAGAAATGAGTGTAACTAGTATTGCATTGAGAGTTGAAACCTGGCTTTTAGCTACATGGCATGTTAAAGTGCCTTTAACATGGCTGGAAGCTTGTATTAACTGGATCCAAGAAGAAAATGATAATGTTAATTTGAGTCAGGCACAAATGAATAAACAAGTGTTTGAGCAGTGGCTCCTTACAGATCTGAGAGATTTGGAGCACCGTCTTTTACCTACTGGCATTTTAGAAGCTCCGAAAGGAGAACTGAATGGATTTTTTGCTCTGCAGATTAATTCATTGGTTGATGTTAGTCAGCCTGCATATGCCCAGATACAAAAGTTGAGAGGAAAGAATACAACCAATGACCTAATTACAGCTGAAACACAAGTAACCCCCAAACCTTGGGAAGCAAAGCCTTCACGAATGTTGATGCTACAGCTAACTGATGGAATTGTACAAATACAGGGAATGGAATATCAGTCTATTCCAACTCTGCATAGTGATCTTCCTCCAGGTACAAAAATTTTGATTTATGGAAATATTTCTTTCCGTCTTGGTGTTCTCTTGTTGAAACCAGAAAATGTGAAAGTGTTGGGAGGAGAAGTTGATGCTCTTTTAGAGGAATATGCCCAAGAAAAAATTCTTGCAAGATTAATTGGGGAACCTGATCCTACAGTTTCAGTCATACCAAATAATTCTAACCAAAGCATCCCCAGAATTACGGATGTTCTAGATCCTGCGTTGGGACCTTCTGATGAAGAACTCTTGGCAAGTCTTGATGAAAACGATGAGCTTGCAGCAAGTAATAATACCTCTTTCGAAAGAAGTTGTTTCATAGGTAATTCCTCAGATACTGTTCCCATCAGACAGTCAGATTTTGAACCAGCACTTGTTATTTCTCCAAGGCCAAAGGAGAAACCACAAAACCAATCTATGCTTTTTACTGATGAGGAATTAGATGACTTTTCATTGGAGGAGGCCTTGCTTTTAGAAGAAGCTGTCCAGAAGGAACAAATGGAGACCAAAGAATTACAACTATTGACTTTGAACAGAACTACAGATGAAAGTATAGAGAGGTTTTCGCATCGATCTAATACTCTAAATAGTTTTTCTCTTATTTGCAAAAATGGAAACAATAATTGGAGTGAAAAAAATTTATCTGAGCAAATGACTAGTGAAGACAAATCTCTTAGTTGTCCGTCTACTAGAGACCAAAGCAGTAGTAGTCTTTCAGTTAATCATAATGTACCCCTACCCGATGATTTTGCAAATACAGGTAAGAGCTCAGAGACATATAAAATAAAACAAATTAGCAGTTCAGATGGACATTCTTTAAATAATACAACGTTCAATGGAGAGCTGGTCAGTAATGTACCAAAAAGGAGTTCAGATGTTTCTAATGAAAATGAGCACCATTTACAGACTTGTTCTTTACGATTGTCAGAGAATAGCACTGGACTTTCTATCACCATGGATTTGTATTCTCCACCCTTTATCTATTTGTCTGTTCTAATGGCCAGCAAACCAAAGAAGGTTACAACAGTGAAAGTCAAAGCATTTATTGTAACCTTAACTGGAAATCTCTCAAGTTCTGGTGGCATTTGGAGTATAAGAGCAAAAATTTCTGATGGTACTGCATATCTAGATGTAGACTTTGTAGATGAAATACTTACTAGTCTGATAGGGTTTTCAGTATCAGAAATGAAACGGTTAAAAAAGGATCCTTGTAAATACCAAAAGTTCCTGGAAGGTTTGCAGAAATGTCAGAGAGATCTAATAGATTTGTGCTGTCTGATGACTATTTCATTTAATCCCTCCTTGTCTAAAGCAATGGTACTGGCATTACAAGATGTTAATGTGGACCACCTTGAGAACCTAAAGAGGAGATTAAATAAATAATTTACTGAAATAGTGTTAAAAAGCAATTCAAATAAGCAAGGAAATACTTTCACAACTTTTTGAAAAGGAAGTTTCACAACTGATTTCACTTTAATTTTATATTGCTTGATCATGATTGTGTGTTTCAGTTTTTTTAATAAAGTTTTTTATAGTAAATGTTTGCTGAATGAATTTGATGACCCACTGTTGTTGAGAAATTTTGTTTTCCACTTGTTATTTCACATAAGGTGACTGGTAAAGTATTGTATTGGTGTTTACTGATGAGTCATACTGTTGAAAGAAGGTTAACAGTTATAAAAAAGTAGTTGAGAACTTCTAATTTGTACCCCAAAAGATTTGTTTGTAATATTTTTCTTAGGAAAAAATGTAAATCCAGTGGATTAGAATGTTAGACTTTCAGATGTTAATTGTCTTGCTGGTTTTTATTTTGCTGATTGTAAATATTTTGTCTGGTATATTTAAGGCGATTATCTTAACTAGATACCATTTTAAAGATTATATTGAATACTTAAAAACTTGATTTTCAAGGATAATCTATTAAGAAGATCCAGTTAACTTTTTGGGGGATTAAACTAAGATGTATATCTATGTCTTTAGTTGTTATCTCCTTTCTGAATTAGTTTTATATGTAAGTCTTCCTTTAGTTTTGTTGGAAGTGCTGATTTCTTTTTCAACTGAAGCTGTTTCCCACTTTCCCATTTTGCTGTTAAAAAGGTAAAGATTTTTATTATTCTTTTTTTAAAATGTAAATTAAAGTATCTTGACTTTTAAAACATTAAATAATAAAATGAACACGGCATTTTTAAAGTAATGTAATAGAAAATATCTGGAAGTAAGATAAATACATATATACAAATATATAGATATAGCAGAAAAATATTCTAAAAATCTTTTGTCATTATTGGTTGAAGGATGATTATCAGAGTTCAAGGCACAATCCAGATTTTGCTGCTATGTCTTCTGATAATAACCACTTCTATGTCCTTGCATAGCTTTTTTACTACATGGATGGCGTTATCTTTCATTATCTTTCTTCTAAGTGTTCTCCTGTACTCTGTGAGTAGTGCTTGAAAGCTGTTACTAAATTTTGTTTTCTCTTTATATTCAGTTACTGAAGACAGGGTATAGTACTTAATGGTCTTCCTAGGTGACGCTAGTGTTTAAAGAGCCCACCTGCCAATGCAGGAGACATAAGAGGTGTGGGTTTGATCCCTCGGTCAGGAAGATCTCCTGGAGGAGGGTATGGCAACCCACTCCAGTATTCTTGCTGGAGAATCCCATGAACAGAGGAGCCTGGTGGGCTACAGTCCACATGGTTGCTAAGAGTCAAAGTTGCAGAGACACGACTGAAGCTTCTTAACATGCACACACACAGTACCTTACCATATCAATCCTTTATTCTGTATTGGAGCTTTGTTTCTGACTCTAGTCTTCACTGCCCTGGAGTATTCCAGTAGGCTTACTAATTGGCCTGTGCCTTATTTTGTCCTTAAGCCTTTAACCATAATTCTGCCTGAATGATCTTTCTGACCATTCTTGTTTACTAATAAACTTCTTGTTTACTACCGTTTGTTGCCCTCTGATATCAACCTTTTCCAGACTCTTCATCTAGTATGTAAGACATTTTACAGTCTGGTCCTTGCCTTCGTTTTCAGCTTTGCCTTGCCTCCTTATTCTTCACCTGCCTTGTCGGCCAGTAAATTTTAGTTGTAAAATTTGTTCCCCAAATGGGGGGAATATACTTCATACTTATCATACTCAAGCTCATAGTAATAACCCTCCCAGATTTCTACTCAGCTTAAGCTTTAGATGGCCATTGAAGTGCTTCATGAATTTCCCTATCCACTTTCATGCCCTTTGTATGTTGTATAGACTATATATTTATGTTTTATTATACTTATTTGCTTCCCGTATTCTACTGCTACATTTTGGGCAGAATAACTCTTTTGTAGAGAGCTGTCATGGGCACCCCTTAGCAACATCCTGACCTCTACATGTGATGTAGAATCCTTCTAGTTATAGATGAATGGATAAAGAAGTTGTGGTACATATATACAATGAAATATTACTTAGCCATAAAAAGGAATGAATTTGAGTCAGCTGAACTGAGGTGGATGAAGCTGGAGCCTGTTATATTAAAACGTACATAGAAAAGACAGAAGGACCAGAGATCAAATTGCCAACATCTGCTAGATCACTGAAAAAGCAAGAGAGTTCAGAAAAACATCTACTTTTGCTTTATTGACTACACCAAAGCCTTTGACTATGTGGATTGCAGCAAACTGTGGAAAATTCTTCAACAGATGGGAATACCAGACCACCTGACCTGCCTCTTGAGAAATCTGTATGCAGGTCAAGAAGCAACAGTTAGAACTGCACATGGAACAACAGACTGGTTCCAAATTGGGAAAGGAGTACATCAAGGCTTTATATTGTCACCCTGTTTATTTAACTTATATGCAGAGTACATCATGCAAAATGCTGGGCTGGGTGACGTACAAGCAGGAATCAAGATTGTCAGGAGAAATATCAATAACCTCAGATATGCAGATGACACCACCTCTATGGCAGAAAGCGAGGAGTAACTAAAGACCCTCTTGAAAGAGGAGAGTGAAAAAGTTGGCTTAAAAACTCAACATTCAGAAAACTAAGATCATGGCATCCGGTCCCATCACTTCATGGCAATTAGATGGGGAAACAATGGAAACAGAGACTATATTTTTGGGTTCCAAAGTCACTGCAGGTGGTGACTGCAGCCATGAAGTTAAAAGATGCTTGCCCCTTGGAAGAAAAGCTATAACCAAGCTAGACAGCATATTAAAAAGCAGAGACATTACCAACAAAGGTCCATCTAGTCAGAGCTATGTTTTTTCCAGTAGTCATGTATAGATGTGAGAGTTGGGCTATAAAGAAAGCTGAGCACAAAAGAATTGATACTTTTGAACTGTGGTGTTGAAGAAGACTCTTGAGAGTCCCTTGGACTGCAGGGAGATCCAGCCAGTCCATCCTAAAGGAGATCAGTCCTGAATATCCATTGGAAGGACTGATGCTGAAGCTGAAACTCCATTACTTTGGCCACCTGATGCAAAGAACTGACTCATTGGAAAAGACCCTTTAGCTGGGAAAGATTGAAGGTGGGAAGTGAAGGGGACGACAGGATGAGATGGTTGGATGACATCACTGATGAGGTGGACTTAAGTTTGAGGCTCCAGGAGTTGGTGATGGACGGGGAAGCCTGGCGTACTGCAGTCCATGGGGTTGCAAAGAGTCAGACATGACTGAGTGACTGAACTGAGCTGAACTGAAAACATACACATGGAATTTAGAAAAATGGAATTGATGAACCTATTTGCAGGGCAGGAATAGAGACACACAGACTTGTGGACACAGTAGGGGAAAGAGAGGGTGGGGTGAATTGAGAGGCGTATTGAAGCATCCCTTACCAGATGTAAAATAGCTAGGGGAAAGCGGCTGTATCACAGACGGAGCTCAGCCTGGTGCCGACAGCCTAGAAGGATGGGATGGGAGAGGGTAGAGGGAGGGGAAATGTGTATATTTATCCCTGGAGAGGGAAGATCCTGTGGAGAAGGAAATGGCAACCCACTCCAGTATTCTTGCCTGGGACATCCCCTGGACAGAAGGAACTTGGCAGGCTACAGCCCATGAGGTCTTAAGAGCTGGACAAGACTTAGCAACTGAACAACAACAACATGGCTGATTTATGTTGTATGGCAGAAACCAACACAACATTGTAAAACAATAATCCTCCAGTTAAAAAAATCCTTCCAGTTGTGACAAGCAAAGATCTTTCCATAAATAGCAAAATATTACTGCAGAGACAACATTGCCCTGGGTTGAGAACCATTACTGTAATGAAATATAAGCTGCTTGAGGGTGTGGCTAATTCATTACCTTTGTAACTCCACTAAATGTTTCCTGTTACTATAAATGAATCATCATATCATCTGTGTTCCCTTGCTTAATATCTTTTAGTGTTTTTTCATTATGTGTTCAATAGCATGGTATTTAAAGCTCCCCAAACCTCTGTATGCATGGCTCCTCAGGTATCTTCAGTGAAAGAATAAATTAGAAAAATCTGCCCAATAGCAAAGCAAAATTGCTCAGTCGTGTCTGACTCTTTGCGACCCCTTGGACTGTAGCCTACCGGGCTCCTCTCCGTCCATGGGATTTTCCAGGCAAGAGTACTGGAATGGGTTGCCATTTCCCTCTCCAGGGGATCTTCCCACCCCAGGGATTGAACCCAGGTCTCCTGCATCACAGACAGACGCTTTACCATCTGAGCCCCCAGGGATAGCAAAGGGAGAGTATAAAAAAGCTTGGTTGACTTCACCTAGATTCTACTAGAGGGGGAAAACAGTTTTCTCTGAGAATCTGCAGCTAGAGGACTGTTCTTTATTGTTATTACTTATTTTTGGCTGTGCTGAATCTGCTGTGTGGGCTTTTCTCTAGTTCTGGTGGGCAGGGTCTCTTCTCCAGTTGAGGTGTGCAGGCTTTTCACTGCAGTGGCTTCTCTCATTGCAGAGCATGGGCTCTAGGGCGCCTTGGCTGTAGTAGTTGCAGCACGTGGGCCCAGTATTTGCAGCTCTAGAGTACAGGCTCAGTAGTTGTGGCTCACAGGCTTAGTTGCTTCCTGGCCTGTGGGATCTAACCAGATTCAGGGATTGAACCGTGTCTCCTGAGGTTCAGTTGGTTGGCAGGCGGATTCTTTACCACTGTGCTACCAGGGAAACCTGGTCTGTTCTTATATGAGACAACGCAGACACTTAAGTTCCCTGTGTGATAATCTCCAACCGAGAATTTAACATAAAAAAAAGAATGACCCTGTGGGAACCAGGCAGAAGCAAATGGAAACGGGAAAAATGGGCATAATCAGATCATCTTTAACTTCGTAAGAGTGAATTTGCTTTCAGAGAGTATATGTTCTTTGTGCCTGCATTCTGTATGTCTTATATGTATTGATCACTACTCTAGTCCACCAC